TTAAAAAAGATAAAATACCTAGGAATATATTTAACCAAAGAGGTAGAAAAATCTCTACAAGCAAAACTACAAAACACTGATGAAAGAATTTGTAGATGACACAAACAAATTAGAAAACATCCTGTACTCATGGATTGGAAGAATTAATATCATTTAAATGACCATACTGCCCAAAGCAATTTACAGATTCAATGCAATCCCTATCAAATAATAACATAATTTTTCACTGAATTATAAAAAATAATTCTAAAATATATATGGAACAAAAAAAAGAGCCATAATAACCAAATTAATCTTTAGCAAAAAGAATAAAGCTAGAGGCATTACATTGCCTGACTTCAAATTATACTACACAGCTATAGTAATCAAACAGCATTGTACTGGTATAAAAACAGACACAAAGATAGAGAATAGATAGAGAACCCAGAAATAAAGCCACATACTTTTTTAGCCAACTGATCTTTGACAAAGTCAACAAGAACAGTCACTGGAGAAAGGCAATTCTTTTCAATAAATGGTACTGGGAAAATTAGATTGCCATGTGCAGAAGAATGAAACTGGACACCCCTGTCTCCCACAAAAAATCAACTCAAAGTGGATTAAAGACTTAAACATAAGACCCAAAACTATAACAATACTAGGAGGAAACCTAGGGGAAGTTTTCTGGACATTGGTCTTAGCAAAGAATTCATGACTAAGACCTCAAAAGTGCAGGTAACAGGCACAAAAATAAACAAATGGGACTTCATTAAACTACAAGGCTTCTTCATAGCAAAAGAAATAATTAGTACAGTGAACAGACAACCTGCGGAATGGGAGAAAAATTTTGCAGACTATACATTTGACAGGAGACTAAGGTTCAGAATTTATAGAGAACTTAAACAACTCAATAATAAAAGAAATAACCCCATTAAAGAGTGGACTAAGGACATGAATAGATATTTTTCAAAAGACAAAAAAATTGCCACAAGAATATGAAAAAATGTTCACCATCAGTAATCATCAGAGAAATGCAAATTAAAACCACAATGAGATATCATCTTATACCAGTCAGAATAGCCACTATTAAAAAGACAAAAAATAACATTTGTTGGAGAGGATGCAGAGAAAAGAGAACTCATGCAATGTTGGTGGGAATGTAAATTAGTGCAACCTCTATGGAAAACAGTATGGCAACTTCTCAAAGAACTGAAAATAGAACTTCCATATGATACAGCAACCTCTTTACTGGGTATCTACCCAAAGGAAAATAAATAGAAATGTTTAAAATTAAAAAGGCACCTGCACTTATGTGTTTATCATAGCACTATTCACAATAGTGAATGTCCCTTAGTCCAGCTGTCCCCAACCTTTTTGGCACCAGGGACTGATTTCATGTGAATAGCAAAGATATGGAATCAACTTAAGTGTCCATCAACAGAGGATTGGATAAAGAAAACGTGGTGTATATACACAACGGAATACTATTTTGTCACGAAAAAGAATGGAATCGTGCCTTTTGCGGCAACATGGATGGAATGGGAGGCCATTATCTTAAGTGGAAACAACTCAGAGGTGGAAAGACAAATACCACATGTTCTCACTTTAATGTGGAAGCTAAATAATGTGTACACATGGAAGCAGAGCGTGGAATGATGGACAGGGAAGACTCTGAGGTGCGGGGGAGGGGTGGAAGGGTGGGTGGTGGGAGGTTGCTTGGTGGGTACAATGTGCGCTGCTTCAGTGATGGGTGCACTGAAGGCCCTGCCCTCAGCACAGTACAATAACATCCATGTAGCAAAATTGCCCTTGTGCCCCATGAATAGATACAAATAAAAAATAATGGGGGGCGGGGGGAGAGAAGATACACCTGTTACCAGAGCTGTAACTTAGAGGTAGCTGATGAGTCCTTGAGTTCCATGAAGACAGAGGCTGTGGCATTTACCCTAGCCTGCCTAGTGATGGGCTCGGGGCCTGTGATAGAGTGAGTGCACAGAAAGTATTTAAACAAATGAAAGAATATGGAAAGTTATCCCATTAACAAAAAGTTCACTGCTGGATTCCATTAAGTCAAATGTCCCTTAGTCCAGCAGTCCCCAACCTTTTTGGCACCAGGGACTGGTTTCACATAAAAGGATTACCCTAAAGTTGTACTTGTGGCCTTTCTCTCTGATTTTCTCCCCAAATTCAGTCAGGGAAGTAGCAACTCACTGGTAAGTTCAGAAAAAGGAACTGGACATGCCCACATCTCATTAGGAGTGGCGTGTCCCCAGGAAGCCCACAATCCTACTCTATGGTAAGTTTAGTGGAGCCAGAAAGGAAGCCAGCAATTTCAGAGTTATGCTCAATTCAGGAGAATCTATTAGCAGAGCCATTTGGCAGCATTTGGCTCTCAGCCAACCCTCCAAACCAGCTTTTATCTGTAATAAAGCTGACATTTTCATCATCGGATGTCTGACTCCTATCTCAAAGGCAACTCAGGAAGTGGGTGGAAAAAAGGGGTGTTAGTTACTGGCTGCTTCAAACCCCAACTATTACTAGATTGAGAATTTCCTTACCAGTAAAATGGATATAACGATATTAATAATATCCATCATATAGGGTTTAGTGAAAATCAAAAGAGATAATATGTTAGATGCTCAGTAAATGCTTTCTCTCTTTACTTCCCTTTTTGAAGTTCTCTTCTTTAAGCAAGAGATCTTACCCTGTGAAGGCTGGGTCTATATTATTCTGTATGTCTAGTGATATTTGGATGTTCTGTATAGGTTAAAAAGGTGGAAAATGATTATTATAAGAAATCCTAGCAAGTTAGTCATTTCTGCCCATATTTTCAAAAATAGTTTTATTAAGGAATAATGACCTTACAATAAATATGGTTAAAGTGGACAATTTGGTAAGCTTTGACATAATAATAAACACTGGTGAAATCATTACAATCAAAACAGTGAGCATATCCATTACCCCAAAGTTTCTCATGGCTCTTTATAATCCCTGCTTCCCTCCTCCCTGTTCACCCACCCCACTGATCTGCTTTCTGTCACAGTAGATTAGTTTATGTTTTTTAGAGTTGTAATAAATGGAATAATACAATATATTATCTTTTTTTGCCTGTCTGCTCATATTTTTAAAGACCAATAGGCAGTCATCACTGAATAGTGGAAGAACACTGATCTGATTTTTTTTTAACTATAGATTAGTTTGTCTTTTCTAGAATTTCACATAAATAGAATCACACAGAATGCAGTCTTTTATGTCTGGCATCTTTCACTCAGCATGTTTTTGAGATTTATCTATGTTGGTATATATATATATATATACCAACATAGATAAATATATATATAATCTATATATATAATCAGCAGTGCATCTCTTTTAATTACTGAGTAGTATTCCCTGGTAGGAAGATACCACAATTTGCTTATCCATCTTCCTGCTTACTTGGATTGTTTCAAGTTTTTGCCTATTGTGAACAAAGCTGCTATGAACATTTGCACACACGTCTTTTTGTGGACATATGGTGTCAGACCTGTGGGTGGAGTAGCTGGGCCATAGGATAGCTATATATTTAGCTTTGTAAGAAACTGTCAAGCTGCTTTCTAAAGTGCTTTCTACCGTTTTGCATTCACACCAGCCCTGTACAAGAACATCAGTCAGGCCACATGCTTGCCAACCCTTGATGTGACCTGGGCTTTCACTTTTCCCCTTCTAGTGAGTTTAGAGTGGTACGTCACTGTGGGTTTTGGCATTATTTTCCCAAATGTTCCCTAGTCCTTGCAAGAGCCTCTTGGAGCTCTAAGCAGAGGTTTCTTAGCACTCATTTTGGTTGTCGTTCATACTGCACAAGCACAGCTGTTTATGGGCAGGAGGGTGCTGTACTAAGAGTAAAATGGGTTTGCATGTTTACAAAGGGCAGGAGCTGCAGCCCACTGGGAGACTGGTCCCTGGCAAAGAGAAATATTAATATGTCATTTGTGAACTTAGAGAATAAGCCTCCAGGGCCGTAAGTGAAGCATTACATAACCATTGACATCTATGGAAATCTGGCTGTATCCTCATGCTTTAGTGCTGTAGATAAAAATAATTCGGAGGCAGAGAAGGGATATGAGAAAACAGTTTATAACTAAAATAAGGACGTGCACTTGGGGATCCATGGAACTGGTAAGGGCACCAGGCTGTTTCAAATGCTGGCACCACTATTTACAAAGCAAACTGTTGCCAAACTATTTGGTTTGCATTTCTCCCATGATTGATAGTGTTCACCAGTTTTGTATTTGGTTTATTGACCATGTATGGACATTGTTTGGTGAAGTATCTGCTAAAGTCCTTTGATCAATTTTTAACATTGAATTTTGTTTTGTATTGACTTGTAAGAGTTCTTTCTAATACATATTCCAGATCCAAGTCTATCATCAGCTATACGTATGGCAGTAGCTTCTCCCAGTCTGGCTTCCCTATTTATTTTAACAGTGCCATTTGATGAGCAAAAGTTTTCAATTTTGATGTAAGTCTAATTTGTCAATTTTTTCCTTTTATTCTTAGTCTTTGGTGTCATAAGAAATCTTTGCCGATCCCCAAACCATGAAAATAACCTCCTGTTTTCTTCTAGATGCCTTATGGAAATTATTGCTTTTTGAACTGGCCTCTGAGAAAGCCTAGAAAGGCCTCAAGGGGGATTGATGAGGTCCATCCCATAGCACCCTCCACCTTCCCTTCCTTCCCTACCTCCCTCTACCTCCACTTCAATCAAAGGGACCCTCTTTTCATTTTATGTATTGAGGTTTTAACTAAAATTTTATTTAACAAAAAGGTTCCCATTTTTTTTTTTTTTTTTTTTAGCCATTGCACTGAACTACAAAATGCTTGAAGACAGGATCCACAAATACATTAATTCTCCTTTATCTATTCCTCTATGCACAGTGCCTGGGCACGCAGTGAACATTTGATAACAATTTTTAATTGAAATGAATCAAACCAAATTTGGACTGAAAAAAGGGGCTCTATTCCGTTTGGCTTAATCTTACATAAGATGTTCCTGAGCGTCCAACCTGGGTCAGGCTGCAGCGAATGGAGAAAGGCTCCTACTGGGAGTGAGATCAGAGGCCTCCTCCGGCAGCAGGCTCTATAGGAAGCAGTAAAAAAAAAAAACCCACTTATGTAACCTTTTACTATTTATAAAACACTTTCATATACCTTATCTAAAAAAAAAAAAAAATAGCTTCAAAATGTCTTCCCTACTCACAAAGACAAACAAACATCCCAGAGTTTTACATGTAAGGGGGAGGGCAGGCCCCAGTTTCAGCAGGGACAGAGTTCTGCCCCTCTGCAGGGGTAAGAAGGGCACCCAAGGGCCCTTTATAAGTCCTTCCTCCCCCCACTCAATTCCGACCGACGCTTAAAATCGCACCCAGCTTTCTCCCTTCAGGCTAAGGCTTTTATTTCAGCTAAATGCAAATAGGGCCAGAGTGACGGGCACACATTAGTCACCCTCCATTTGCCCCGCGTGTGGCAGGATTGGCTGTGTGGGAAGGTCACTAAGGACTGGGACATTTCTAACCAGGCAGCTGGGGACCCCCAGGGCCACCCTCCCAAGTCTCCTAACTGCACTCGGGTCAAAACCCGCAGCCGCCACCGCTGCCTCTGAGTTAGACAGCGGAGGTGACCTAAGATCCAGGGTGCCCACACTTCCTGTCTGTGACAGCGGGCAACACCCACCTCCCTCAGCCACCCCCACCCCTCCTCCTGGCTTCTGCACCCACATTGTCACCTTTTCTCTCTGGGTAACCCCATATCACCGAAGAAACCGGAAAGTCTGTTTCCTACCTAGAAAATGAACATCTGGAGACAGTCGGTGGTTAGGGGCCATGAAGATCTTTCTCTAAGCGTAGATAGCACCACACCTAGCGTCCTGCTTTGCAGATGAGCCGCAGGGTGCACCCTGGGCTTCCTGTCTGTCCCACAGACCCGGGCGGAATCACGCTGCTGGACTGGGCTAAGTCATTTCTTGTGGAAAAAGGAAGTAACGTTCTCAGGCCAAGCCTAACAAGTTTAAAAAGCCCCGTGGGTTAGAGACGCACCAGTCTCCCCAGAGCTTCCCCCAGCTTCCCTCTCCCTCAGGGTTCTCCAGAGCTGCTCTTCAGTGATTTCTTTTCCCTTCCAGGCCTGCTCTGCTTGTCTCCTTCCCCTGCTGCCATCGGGCACAGCAGCTAGAAAAGAGGCCCCCACGCCTGTGTGTTGTCCTGTCTTTCCCAGGCGCCCTGCTCCGGGGGCTGGGGGCTCAGGAAGCATGGACGGGAATCGAAGAACCGATGGCTTAAACGTTGTGTGTTTACACCCATTCTTTGTGATTGGGTTCAGGCATGCATTTTGCACCACCTGGAGTTACGGTTTCTAATCGGTCAATAAAGAAAATGTCCTTTAACTTCACTAAAAAGAACAAAAAACCCGTGACAAATGTCACCTACCTGGCTCACCCGTTAGAACTCAAAAAGATGCTTTCTTGCCAAACCTGGAGGAAGCCATCTTCCCTCTAGCGGGAGTGAGCGTTCCAATCCTCCAGAGGGAAACTAGTGCTCTGGATATAGGGTTCAGATTCAGCAAACATTTTAGAAATGTCCTCTCCTTGCCAAGCACTATATTAAGGGTGTGTGCGTGCGTGCGTGTGTGTGTGTGTGTGTGTGTGTGTGTGTTTAGTTTCCATTCCAAGCTGCAATATCCAGATGAGAAAAGCAGGGCTTAGTGAGGCTAAGTAACGTGCCCACCTACAGTCAGTAAGTGGGAAGGTCAAGATTCTAACCTAGGTTTTACAGATCCAGGCCCAATGTTTTTTCAGTTACCCCCTGCAGATGCCATTTCAAGGTGGCATCTCAGGCCACTTCCTCCAGCATCCTAGAATATTCTCCAGAATATTACAGATCACATCAGTCTCTCTCCCCTCTGAATACCAGACAGCATGGCCATGTGTCCATTCCACCTGTAGAGGGGGCTCACAAAGGACTGGAAGCTCCCACCCTCAAGAGTTGTGTCTTGTTCTTTCCATCCCCTGATGGAATACAGGGTATGTAGGAAAACAACAATTTACCGGGACACTTGAAAGCCCCTCAAAGCCTTCTCATATATACTGTCCCCATAACTCTGTGACATAGGATAGGCAAACTTTATTTGTGCTGAGGGGTGGAGGTATAGGAGGAGGAGGGTAGAGGACAGAAGGGAAGAAACTGGAAGTTAGTGAGTGATTTAGGATTCAGCCCTAAAGGATCAAAGCACTAAGAATCCTGAGTTATGGGGACCAAGATAAGGTCCCTGCTGAGCTGGGCGAATAGAGAGATGAATTTGATTTCTTGAACGCCTACTGGATGACAGTGCGTCAGTAAGTCATGATGTACATTATCTCATTTAATGCAATCCCTGCAATCAAATTTGTTAATGGACTTCACTGCACAAAGTTGAATTAATCTTTATAATCCTTGATTCATTTCATACTACCCTTATTGGTCCATGCTTGGGTCTTAAATATTTATTTGTTCTTCCTTTCAATCATTTAGTTTAATGTTATGATGAACAGCCTTGAACCTACACCCAACCCAAGGATTAGAACACGGATGGTAACCTACATCTGCTCATCCGCTCTGTCCCTACCTTTCCCACCTTCCCCGAGCCATGCCAGCTGCATCTTCTATCACTTCCTTGCTCTGAGTCTTACTGCATGTATATTGTTGTCCAAAAGACCACCATGATAGCGAAAGTGTAGAAAGGAGAACTTTATAGGCAGTATCAGCTTGCAAACCGGGAAGAGATAGTCTCTGGTGTGGACCGAAGGGGCTCTCTCTTCAAAGAGTTAAAGGGAAGTTGGGTTTTATGCCTCACAGGGTGTGCATTATACAATAAAGTCAAAGATATTCAGCAGCTTTGAGGGAAAGCTATGCATATTTATGAGGGAAGCCAAGTACATGCACAATGGATAAACATATGTGTAATATATGTCCCATGTTCACTTTGGGGAGGCCTTTTAGTATTAAAATAAGGTGGAATTTGGATGTATGTCAAAAGGTGAGCTGTGAGACACAAAGACAGATTGTGCACAGTCTTTGGAAGTTCGTTGAAACTGGCTTACGGTCTGCAGTTACTTGTCAGAAAAGAATGTTTGTAAGGTCTGGACCTCTGCCCAGTCAGAATTGCAGTGGTCTGGGCTGTAAATCAAAGTTAGGAGCTCTAACTCCTATTGCTAGGGAGTTTAGCAAGAGTGTGGTTTTTCTTAGGAATTTAGGAAGTTGCCATGCCAGCTGAGCCCCGAACCCTTGACCTGTAAGTAACTTTGGTTTCCTTAACCTTAAGAAAGGTCCCTCTTGGTTGATAGAGAGGCATCTATTTTGGTCTCTCACATCACAATATGGAAAATTTTAAATATATCGTTTATTTTTGTTTTATTTAAATTTTAATAAAAGAACTTATTTTTTCACACATTTCTTGTCAAGATTCCTCCATATGGTTACATAGTGTCTTTGTGTCCATTTATTTTCACAGCAATATAATATCCCATTGTGCAAATGTACCACAATTTATCTGTTCTTCTTATGAGTATTTATCCATTCTTATGTTGTATGGCATCCAGTGCTTTGCTATTGCTAACAGTGCTGCTAGGAATTCTCTTGTACATGTTTTCTGGTGTTCGTGCGTAAGAATGTTTCTGAGATTTATATGTCTAGGAGGGGAATCGATGAGTCCATTTTGCAGATGAGGAAACGAGGCCCAGAAAGGTTAATGAAACTGTTCAAGATCACACAGCTAGTTAATAATTAGAACCAAGATTTGAATCCAAGACTTCTCTAAAGGACACAAGGGAAGGAAAAAGTGGGGGACGGGGAATATAGCAGGCAATCTAAGTAATGAGGACATTTTTTATAATCTTACCTTGAGACAAGAACTTCTATGTACTGAGGGTACTGGGCGCTTTATACACCTGTTTGCACCTGCCTTGGCCTATGCTGGGCCTGGGAAGTTCCAGAGGTTGGGGAAACCTCTGTCCCAAGAGTCATTTGGCCCTTTAATCCCCAGGGCTGACCACTTTGTTAGAGAAGGGACAAATCTCTCTGCGATTCAGCAGCAGCCTGTTCCCAGGGGACCTCGTCCCCTCCACAAAATGAGGTGCTCCTAGACTCTGCCCCTGCCCGGTCCCACCCTCTCCCGCAGTACGGACACAGGGCCAGAGCCTCCTCTGTGAGAACCTCCCCTCTCCGCTTCACGCCCACCCCCTCTGACCCGGGCTGCCCCCACCCCCCCATGCGTACACTAGCTGGTGTGAGGCCACCCACAGAGCCATTTAATCATCCCTGAGTGCAAGGCCATGCTGCAGGCGTGTGCAACAGGAAAGAAAAATAAGACCTGCAGCTGCACCGTGATGTCAGCGATGGGGCAGATGGGCATTCAAATAAAAATTAGAATTACCAGGCAAACAAGCCCTCGGCAGACCAGCTGTTCACTGCCCCAGGCTTGCAGGATCCACAGATCTGTGTAGATTTAAGTCATGGCAGGGCCTATAAAACCCCTCCTTGGAGGCCCCTTAGCCTCAGGGACAGCAGCCTCACTCTTTCCCAAGGCTACAGACCTTCCCTCAGCCAGGCCTTCATCTTTCAATGGAATTTGCTGATGGTTTTAAGGGAGATTAGGGAAGAGTGTGGGTCCCAATTGGAAAACTACCTCCCATTGAAGCCCTGCAGATAGGATCAGAATATCATCTTTGCACAGGAAGGACAGCCCAGTGTTGCCTGGATCATTTGGGTTTTTAATTGTGCATCCTGTAAGTGCCCTGGGCAGCGGGGGCCACGAGCCAAAAAGTAACAGACTTGACGCTTGCTTCTGAGAGCTCATAGTTGGGGTAAAAGGGGAGAGAGAATGAGCACCCGATGAAGAGTTAAATAAACGGCTTAGCTCTGTCCTAGGAGGGGTGGTCTAGAGGGCTTCTTTTCAGGAAGGCAAAGTGCAGGTGCAGGAGGTGGAGGGAGGCTTGGATGAGAGCAGATGCCAGGGCCGCCACCTGCAGGCTGCGAGCCCATCCCACCACTCACCTGGAGAATCCTAACCATCAGGGGCCCATTTACATTTTCTGTAACAGGGAATGACAATATCTGCTTCGTGGGCTGCGGTGAAGCTTAAAGATGACACTGCTTGGAAAACAGGGCATGTAGTAAGTGCTTCGTAAATAGCAGCGACCTCTACATCAAGAACTGTCTCTTTCCCAACCCCATTGAGTTCTCTGTTCAAACTCGATGATTACGGGGCGGGCTACTTCCTGGCCTCTGTTCTGTTGGTTCCCTTCCTTTCTTCGCTAGCGCCCAATGTGTCCCCAGTGGCATCTTCTTCCGCAGGCTTAGAGAGCATCTGCCTGCTCTTCTACCCCTCCTCGCACACACAAACATAGACGCCCCAAAGGCTGTGGCATCTGCTTGGGGCCTTCGGGGCAGGCCGCACGTGTCCCTGTGGAGGGGCGAGGGCAGAAGGCCGAAGGCTTGAATCCCTCCAAAGTGGCCTGGCCTCGCCGGCCTCTGCCCAGACTGCTGCCAGCCGATCTGGCTCTGGGACGGGTGCTACCTTGGGTGCAGGGAAGTGGGAGACAAGATAGGCTGGCAGGCAGGACAGCTGCCAGTGTCTCGAGGGGACCCTGTGCTTGGGACCTTAGATGGGGTGGGGCAGGGCATGGGATGGCACCTGGGCCATTTTGAGAAGCCAATGGCTCAGGCAGGAGGCACGGAGCACACCACGCCCCCTGCTGTCCCTCCCACCCTTTATTCAAGGGGCCAGGTTCCTGCACTCCTGCTCACACATGGCGTAGCCTGGGCTGATGCGCAGGTGGCCCACAGCTGCTCCCTCGGCAGGGCAAGCTCGTCTCTGTGGCTGCAGGGCAGCCCAAGATGCCACCCCTGGTGTGAGAATGTGTCCTCCTGGCAGGGAGAAGTCGCTGTGCAGAGTCGCCTGCAAAGGGCCATTTGCCAGTGTTAGGGGCAAGGGTCCCACAGCATCCCTGGCTACTCACAGGCACTATCTCCCCTCTTCTTTTGCAGGTGGCTCTGTCATCTTTGCCAGTGGCTCTGGCAACTGCCACCAGAGTCAGGAACACAAGCCATTTGCCCCCCGGCCCTGGGCCAGCCCTCACAGGGGCTGCCGTGCTTCACCCAGGCCACGGCCGAACAGTGAGGGCTGGGACTACTAATGAGTCACTGCCCCATGTCACCCCCAGGAGCCAACTCTCCTTCTCCCTGTGTCCCAGGGAGACAAAGAGGAAGTTAGCCCTGACCCAGCATGCCACTGTCTCCAGGATCGCTGTGATTTCAATGTGATTATGATACACGACATCCCAGAAGCCACACTTGAGAATCCCCCTCCCTGCCCTTCAGCCCTTGCTTGCCGTTTCCGGGGAGATGCTGCCAACGCAGACCCTGCGGCGTTGCGGCTTCACATCATCCTTGCTCATTGGTTCAAACGGACCCGATAAAGCACTTACCAGAAAACCCCGACAATTTCATTTTTAGAGCATATGGTTAAAATCATTTCCCTTAATATCCCAGCAAACCTACCCACGGCTATTACGTTGTCAAGGAAGGCTCCATTTTAATCCATTACAGAGCCGCTTACGAACTCTACACCTTGAATTGGAGAACAGCCTCATCAGTTGCGTTTCCTGTGTTTCTCCAAAGTCTATAGGTCAAAGGTACAATTCTGGTCAACCTGGGATAAATTAGATAAGAGCATGCCCAAAGTGCCTGACCAGTAGATTTGGCTTAGGTTATTGTTTTTTCCTAATCTGCCAACTCAAATATGCAGTTAATCTGCTTGCATTTTGGGTGCCACGTTGAAAAGCCTGTGTGACCAGTGCATGATCCCTGTTATATTTAGCTCACAGGTCCCCCAAGGATTGATGCAAATACCTGGCCAGGGCAGAGCACTTTTCTGAATGAAAGGCACCTTGTTTTGTTTCTCGCTGACAGAGGTCCTATTTTTCTGCAAGTCCAGCTTCCATTCAACCTGGCTCCGTCCACTTTCTGCTGCCAGGCTCTGACCCCCAGAGCCGTGACGGGCTCTGACTCCCAGACAAGG